AAAAAAAAAAAAAAAAAATTCTTGACACACAGAAACTTCTTCCTAAAAGTTACACTCATTTCTAATGCAATCTTCCCTCATGTTCACTCATTGGCAGCCTTGGCCAATTGATGGGTAAAATTCCAAATATTATCATTTTGGAATGCACCTCTATTATTACAAGTGAGACTGAACATGTTTTTTTGCTTCCATAAGGCATGTATCTCTGTTTTTGATTTGTGCCTGTCAACGACCCTTCTATCCATCTGTCTGTGCATCTCTGTATAGATAGAGTTAGGGCAGGCCTGCTGTGGGAAAGGTAGGAGGCACCACCCAAATTCAGTGTTCCTGTCTGTCCATGGGGGGTGGGAACAGCAAAGTTACTTCACAGGAGTCATGTGGGGCACAGGACGCTGGCAGCCTGGTGCTGTGCCCAGCAGTGGTGATAGTGGAGAGGGTGGTTCTTAAGAGAATGTATGAAAGCAGACCTGGCCTGCAAGTGTGGGTACTATCTGGGGTCTCCAGCATACAGTTGATTGTTATTTTTGTGCTTTTGATAATGGAACAACAGTACCGCTTCCAAGCCAAGCCTTGGAAAGTGCTTTGCCTCCATAAGCTGTGTGTATGAGAGAGAGAGAGAGAAAAACTCATTCAAAGAAAAACTCATTCAAAGAACAGAGCAAGGAGGCCCAAGAAGTCACTTCCTGGCCCAGCTTTTAATCATGTTCTCGATCTCGCCTTCTCCCCACATCGCTTGCGCCCACCTCCCTCTCATCTTGGCCTGGCCGTTTTTTCTAGCTCGTTATATAATCTGACCTTTTGAAGGAGTGCCGGCCCCTGGTCTTAGTTATAAATTTTAATCTTTATACATTCTTTCGGAACAATGTGCCTGTATAGAACCTTAGCCAATGGCAGAAACTGACAAAGGCCCCTTTCCCCTGGTGCTGGCTGGAGCCCAGCCCATGGCCTTGCATTCCACATCAGGGAGGTGGGTGGTGGGTTGGACATTGCCCTCTTCAGACTCCTAGGCATGCTCTCTTCAGGGAGCCCCTGAGCTGAAGAGGGAATCTGCTTCAGCCCTCTGATCTCTGAGGTCCCAGCTCTTTCTCCTATCCTTATACCTCAGGCCTTCAACTCCATCATTTTTTATTCATAACTCTTGTTGACGCTTTATTGTCATCCCTCTTGTTTCTGCTCATTTCCTTCCGTGTGGCAGCCACTCATCCTGGCTCTTACTGCCAAACCATCGTGATTAGACATCACTTGGGGCTCAGCAGGTGCTCACTTCACAGGGCCAAGGAAAGGAGCTTCCAATTTGGAGCACTCATGTGGGGCCAACTATGGGCAGGGCTGTCTCAGCATCTCATGTCACTGACACACCCTGGCGCAGCTCCTTATCTCCACTTTGCAT